AGCGCTTTTCGTATCCCTTCGCGCGTGCATCAAGGAGGTGTTGCGCTTGCGCTCCCGCCAAGGGTGCTTGCGCCGACCATCCCTCTCCATCTGTCTGGGGGCAGGATGTCGAGGCATTCCGCCTCCACCTCCCGAGCGCTGGTTCGAGGCGGCGCGCAACCACGCGGTGCAGACCAAATTATTCCGTTCTACGCTGCCCTGAGGTGCGGTTTATTATTGTTCTTTGCGTATTTTGTTTCGAAGACGCCGGAACAGCCGATGACATTCCCCAGAACCTTGGGCCAGGACACAAGGGCGCGGCGCTGGCAACCCTTATAGCTAGCCACCCACGAAGACTTCATACACAAGCCGCCTAGCCAGCGCCGCGGTATATCGTAAGCGGTGTACCAGGGAAAGCAGTTCCAAGATTTTGAACGGATTGATTGTCCTCTATCCCCAGGTCAATAAATAACTATCAAATCCAGCAATACAGATACCTGGCCCACCGCCTCCGTCCCTTAGTCCGAGATGCAGCCACACCGTCGGTCGTCATCATTGGGGGACATCTACCTCCCGAGGGCTGCGTGCGTACGCAGGTCACCTCTGCACTCCGCGTCTGAAACGTAAAGGGCAGATGTTCTTTTTTTGTTTTCTTTTTGGACCACTGGAAACCACAAAAAGCTGCACTCCCTCATGCTTGCTCGGAACTTCCACCCCTCACCTCCGTACCGCTTCTGTTTCTGCTCCTATAAATTCCCAATATCCGCTGGAATCGTCAAAGGTAACGAGTCTCAGTGTCGTTGGATGTCTGAGTCTCCTTCCATATCTATTGAGCGTCGCTGAGTCCTCGTGGTAGGCTACCTGCGATCCGGCGTGATTTGCAACGAAACCTATCAAGCTATCGACCCGAACACCACGGGTCTAAGGTGTCGGTTCCAATCTTTGTCCGATTATCCGACGCCATGTGCGTGTCCATCACCCCAGATATCCTATTTGGATCTTCTCTCTCGCGTAGGGAATCGCTGGTACAACAAAATGACAAAAAACCCAACACATAGTGGGTCCTTGTTCGATCTGATTACCTCCGTGCGCGTCAATCCTAGTACTAATGCCGCTCGTCAGCATGGCGTTATGTTTTCTGATGCGATCCTGCTAGCTGCAATGTAACTCCCGGCGGCCACAGGCACTCTACCATTTCATTCGGGTACAATCGGGCCTCAGCTAACAGCGACTTTGTTATCCTCCTCAGGTTTTGAGGACATGTGAGAGAGATTCACCGCTGGGGATACTTGTATGCACCTAATTCCTTGCAACACATAGATTACTCACCGTGATACTCTGACAACGGCGTCATCACGAAAGACCGGGGAATTTTGGGCCGCAGACAGATGAGTATCTGCTTTCGGAGGCTTACATTCTGGAACTTAATAATGGTAGTCGGCGCCTTTTGAAACTGGTTCGACGCCCTCGTTTCGAGTACTACGGAGTCGAACAATACATTACTGCCAAGTCCGACCTGGGCCTTTTTTTTGAGAGAGAAGCGTCCCGTTCCCGTTCACGTTAGGCGCGCAGAGGCTAGCTGCATGACTATCCGCCGCGGCAAGGGATGTGGCTGTGGTGAATTTGGACACTATGATCCTGGGTCGTCGCATGCCGGAGCCCACTCGCCAAACGTCAAACAGTGCCGCGAAGCCCGTCGGGTAACCAACTCCCGCCCGATTCTTTATCGTGCGCCCTTGCTTGCATATTTTGTCCGCCCAAGTCTCCGTTACAGTGCTGACAGAGGAACGAATGGGGAAGACATGCAAAATGATATGTCAGGGTGTTTGGTGTCCGTTTCGCTCCGTGGGTGGCTGAACTTTTCATTTTCAGTCTGCTATATGGTCCAGCTCTCCAGTTTCACCTCGGCGGAGAACAGTTCATTGTGATTACATGACACAGCGAAGGCAAAACCGTTGCGCGCATATCTCTTTTTGGTGCAGTTTTTGGCTTCCTGTCAGGCGAACCTCATGCTTCTACCTCACCCCAGATAATCAAGAGACAACTACAACTCGGTGGCAGGGAATAATAGGATATTCTACGGGAAGTCTATTGGAGGACTCCGCATTACTAAACTTGGGATCGTTTTCATTCATTCTCTGACTCACGACCTGTTCAAGTCTCGCAATCTCCCGCCGTGAGCAGCGCGGGACAATGTAAGCGCTTGTCTTTCCTGCCCTATATGCTTACACGTCTTTCCCTCTACACGCACTGGTTAAGGGGATTTCGGGCGCTGGCTGTGGGCTGACTATGCGGTGCAAGAAGCTTATGAAGCAATATGTCAGCCCCCTCCAATTCAACTCTCGAATCTCGCGAGGTTGGTTGATCGCAGAGTTTGGTTCGCATGAAAGTTCACCATCAGGCTCCGTGAATATCTATTGCCCGACCGCGTCAGCCTCGCCCCGCGGCACCTCTCTTGAAATTAGCAGATTTATCAGATTCAACATTATGATCTCCTCCTTCATCCAAAATACGTAAAGCGGATCCTCCCACATCCGGATCCGCACAAATCCATCCGACGAAAATCTGGAAGTTGTCGCAGCGGCTATGCTCGGGCTTTGATCAACGGTGTACACCAAGCTGGAAACAGCCTCGACGAACTCGGAACGTTGTTTCGATCTGGTAGAATGCGCGACGGATGGGCCATCGGTCTTAACGGGGCGCACCCGGACTCATTTCTCTAGGCGAGTGATTCCTAACGTTGAACTGAATTGCTGCTTCCAGAGCGCGTTTAGCGCCTTACTGTACGATTATATTTCACCCGTCCGATGTCGCAATTATGGCTCCTCTATTTTTCTCTGCGCAGCTTTGACTCACTGCATATTGCTGGCGCGCGGTCGCCGATCTCTACCTCTCCTCTTGTCCGCGTTCCGCCCCGTTGCGTAGAAGCGAGGAACACTCCGACGGTTGCCCCACTTCCTCGCTGTCTCTCGACAGGGAGTCTCGCCAGAGGAAGTGACTATATCGGGCCGGTTTCAGTATTACGCGACGTCCGTGTATCACCCAGCCCATCTCACTTCCCACTTGGTCGCGAAGTCGTACAGATATTTTGACCGGATCACTTCCTCAGTTGAACTCCGGCATCACCTCTCTGGGCTTTCTGTATTGCACCTCGAACACCAACGGCAGAGCGCCAGGAAAACGGATCACCGCTTCATGCTTCGAATGGACGGAGAGACTCACGTCTACATTGGGTACGTATAAGTACTCGGGGTGGTTGGATATACTGGCAGCCATCGCCCACACTCATAAATGTCCTCCCACGTTAATCCCTACGCTTCTTGGTCAAATGCAAACGTCAGACGAGCGGTACCCGGGGTACCCTCAGTGCATGGCGCGCTCCCTTTCGCTGCTGACCCCACCGCGTCCAATCTGGTCATCTTCTACTTCACCGTCTTCAAGCCCAGCATTCTTAACTGCACTGTCGTTGGCCAGAACACATTTCCGTACTTCAAAGTCACGACAGATCCATCTATGCCTGGCTACACTGCCGTTAAGAATCCTGATGGAAAGACCGTCGCACTCATAGAATGGAAGGAGCGTCCATTGGCAGAGATTCGGAATGTGTTTTCGAAACAACGTGTTTCCGACTGGCTACCTCTATCGGCTGATGCGAGGTCAGTTTTAGACCAACCCCATCAAGGCTGCATATATCTAATGTGGTCTCCTCCACTCTAGCCATCGCATCATGAAAGTAAATGGTCAGCAGTACATATGGGCACCGCAAAAGAGCACGATATGTGTAAGTCCCGCGAACTTTCAATCATGCAGAGTGTGTCGCTAAGCCCGCGCTGGCAGCTTTACCCCGCTGGAACTCCGAATGCTGAGCTGCTTGCTCGAATAGCTCGCGGCGAAGACGGCACGGTCTCACTAGAGCTCACTCCGACCGTTGTCAAGGCCGGGCTGGTGGAGACTTGTGTGGTGGCCACAGTCCTCCTCCAATGCGGGCACAAGATCGATTGATTGAATGCCAGTTGCACGAACCTAGACTATCATACATAATCATAATAGCATCTTGGTAATCATTTTTTTCTGCTTCATGTCTGAGCGTTGTCGGTTCAACTTGGATTCAACGGCGGACAAACGCAAGCTCGCCTAATTTATACCGCCACGACGACCGCTGATCAGCTGCTTTCGACAACCAACAAGTCCGCTCGTTTCCAGACACTGTGTGGGCGCATCGCTGGGACTTTACGCTTAATGTGGGGGAACACAGGTATGCCGTGCAATCGTCGCCAGAAACGAAAGGTCGCCGTGATCCGGTCAAAACGGTGTTGAACAAAAGCAGTGAGTTTGTGGATGAGGATGACATGAGCACATTCAATGGTCGTCTGCCGGTAGGGAGGGATACTATTGATGAAGTGAAGCGTAGGTAACGCGCCAGCTGTGAGTTGGTGACGTTTCGGTGACAGGAGCACACTGTTCCACGTCGACAATATAATGGTGCAGACTCAGAATAGAAGCAACGAGCTCCTTGCTCGTAAAATAGGTCCATCGGTTTAACCGTTCCTACAGAGTCCATGCGCCGACTCCCGCGATCTTTCTGGTCCTTCAAACATCCCGAGATGACACGGATCAGCGGCTTGACGGCAAAGATGAGTACGGAAGAAAGATTTGACCCACCGGCGCTTTAGCTGTTGAAAGGCTTCATCTGGCTACACTGCAGCAACAATTTGGCTGCTGAGTTGGATCAAAGCGGTCGGCTGGATTTATCTCTGCTCAAGCCAGGAGGCCCATGGATCCTCGGGTCAGTTTGTTATTTGGCTTTGGGGTTAACCGGAATTGTGATGTTGGGAATTGATGACCCCTCCCCTGAATCCATCCCACGGATCCTTGGGTTGGATTGTCCAGATGGGGACGACCGCGAGCAAGTTGGCGGCTCTTTGAGTTTGGGAGAGCGTAGAACGAGAGAACTTTTCTCTCCGAACCGATGCTGTCGAGTGCAGGACGCGTGCGTCTACGACGCCTGGGAGGTTAAAAATGCCCTCTTAGCTCAGTGGGAGAGCGCGTCACTCGTATAATACGGAGTCCATGATGAGGTCAGTCGTTCAATCCGGCTAGCGGGCACTTTTTGTTTCTTTGGACCTCCGCCCCATGAATAAATCTGCCATCAACCATATTTTTACCCGTTTCCGTCCCCCTCACACGACATCTCAATTTCCAGAGATCCCCGACACCTCTCTTCCCGTTGGACCGCCACAGTCTCCTATTTAAATGCGGGAAGTGTAGCGGGTCCCCGTGCAGCGACGTCGGAATGACCAATACTTGCTTAGGCTCGTTCTGCGATCTACCACTGAGCTAATAGGGACATTCCTGAGGGGAAGTGTAGCGGGTCCCCGTGCAGCGACGTCGGAATGGACAGTTCCCCTGGATAAACCAATCCAAGGGGAAGGATCCGCATTGAGATAATTTACTCATACACACTCGTCTAGTAAACTGACCCAAGGATCCATGGAAGGATTAGCATTCGGGTGATTGGCGAGAATGGGATGATTTGGGGCACAAGTCAGCTATTTGCTCCAGCTTCTTCCCAAACTAACTGTTCTCCAGGCTCATGCATCATGCCCGTTGATACCTACAGACCGTAGGTCTGCACACCACGCTGATTGATTGATGCCAACTGGAGACGGACATGCTCGAGAAGATTGCGCTGGTGATCATGGCGTTCGTAGGGATATGGCGAGGTTCTTTTGATGGTGTCTACTATCCGTCGGACCGTTCGTCGGAAATCAAACTCGCGCCTCGAACTTTGTGACGCGTGACGTCACGTGATTTGCCAGATCTCTGACGTCACCGCCCAAGCGCGTCGCGTCGACGCGTCTTTCTTCTTCCCTCCGGCCTACTGGCTCAGCTGCATCTCCTACGGCTATGGCAGGCCCTCCGAACTCAATAGCTAGTCTCATTGCCAAAGTTCCCGCTCTTACGGAAAGGAAACTCGACCCTGAAAGCATCCTCAAGAAACTTCGCATGACAGACGCGGCGCGTACAGCAGCCCTTCATCATATCAAGCACGTCGGTATAGACTCCATGCGCTTCAGCAACAGTCCCGCGGATCAAGGTGACCTTCATTAAGCTGCCGGCAGACCCAGATCTCAATCATCCAAATTCAGACCGTGCGTTTCAAGTGGTGACAGATTTCGGACTACATTTGCCCAACGAAGTGGAGCGCGACGTTCGTTCTAAACTTGCTATTGTTACCAGCAACAGTGTCCCTTCGAAATCCAAGGACAAAACCACAATCTTCACCCGTTACCGAGCGATCTACCAGTGCCAGTGCGGCACCGATCACGCAGATGGCCGCCATGCTTCGAAGAAAAGACAGATGCCCTGGGAGAATGTTGACTGCGGCTGCTGGTTTCGGATTACTACAACTCTGCATGGTCAGAACGATGATCTATCCAGTGTGTCCCATTTTTTCCCCAGTAATCACCACCTAAGGCTGACCCGCGTCAGAAAACGTCCTTCTCACGATAGACGAAGTGATTGGCGACTTCACTCATTCAGCGGCTCGTCTCGACACTGATGAGATGCTCCGAACTCCGCGCATTCCGCTACACCCCGACCTCCGCCAATACGCACTCTCCCTGTTACGCAAAAGAATTCCCCTCCCACAAGTTCGACAGCACTGCCGAGAATGGGCCCACACACGCTGGGGAATGGCAGTAGGCGACGGCTCTCACCGATATGTTCTCTCCGACTTCGAATCGACGTCCTTGTACCGCACCGTCGCTAACGAGTCCGGTATTTCGCAACGCACGGCAGCTCAAGACAATATCCATTTATGGTTCAATGAAGAAAAACCCTGCCCCCCTGATCCTCGTCTCTCCGCTGCTTGCATCGCTTATTCCCCTTTCATTCCCGGCAAAACTGAGCGTTTCAGTATAATCTTGATGACCCCCGAGCAAAAGTTACTCGCCTGGAAATTCGGTCACAAAAAGCAGATGCTCATGGATTTGACCTTCGGTGTCTGCAACGGACGTGCGCTGTTGGCTATCATGATGGTAATAGACGACGAAAACAAGGGCCTACCCGTCGCCCTCATGTTGTTCACTGCGAAGCAAAAAACGAAGGCTGTCCACGCGGACTACGACAAACTCCTTCTCGAGGAGCAGCTGCGACTGTGGAAGGAAGGTATGGGCGTGAATGATGCTGGAGAGGCGTTCGATCCGACGGTTGGGAGCACGGATAACGATCCCCGTGAACGCCACGGCCTTCGCGCAAATTGGTCCGCCATCATCCTCCTCCTTTGCCTGTTCCACATCTGGCAAGCTTGGCGCAACGGCCTGAACCGATACCTCCGCGTTATAAAGAAGGGCCCCGACCGCCAATCTGTGCGGCAACATCTCGCGAAATTTCTCATGCGACTTCTCAAGGAGATATCAGATTACGACGTTGCGATCAGCGAGTTCAATTCGCAGGTGCAGCATTTCAAGAACATTGCAAAGGCTCGTAACTGCAGTTCGACGTTGAAGGATCAGAGCAAAGGTGCTCTCGCTTTTTTGGCTTACCTGCAGGGGTATCTGAAAGTCCGTGACTTTTGGAAATCATGGTCGCCTGCTGGTGCCGAGGAAGCGGCGAAGAAGATGGGTGTCCCTCTCTCCATCATCGCTCGCACGACGAACCACCTCGAGTCCTTCAATGGACGGCTCAAGGGTGTCTACTTTGCTCCTTACATGCATTCCGGCCGTCTACCGCGCATTGATTTCTGGATTTTGATTGTCATCACGAAGGTCCTGCCGGAGTTGTTGGAAAGATGGGCAGAGAGGCGGGAGCAGAAGGTGTACCGCAATAATATGCGAACAGTCGCACCGAAACCCAACGCCACCGTCATTCCGCGTTCACGTCGCGTGCCCATAACGCTATCCTCGCCTTCCGTTGCCGTTGCCGCACCAATTTCCCACCCCACATCGTCTCGCATCCCACTCACGGATCCGGTTTCACCTACTGCTACACGCGCACAACTGACGGAAGCAGCAAAACTGTGGCTCACATCTGTTCTCAGTACGGCTCTGCCGGCTCCAGCGACCAATGGAGACGATCCAGCACAATGGTCCGAGGAGGTTGAGGAGAGTCTGATGGCGCAAATGGAGGACGACGACGACGATGCAGAAGAGGATGATGATGCTCCAGATTCCGCAGAGTATGAGGAGATGGAAGGGTTTGGTAAGTGTCTCGAGGTGTCGGAAGAGGGCGATCATTCGTTCCAGACAAACGAACCAACCGGTGATCTAACCAGCCCAATTTTATCCACACCGGTCTCTTCGACAGGTCCCCTTCCGCACTCACCCACCGATTCCTCCCATTCCGTTTCAGCAGATTCGGATCTTGATTCCCCAATGCCGGATGTCGGACGCGGATCACCGAGTTTTGTCTGGGATATCGCACTTGATTCCAGCGCGATCGTGGAGAATTTGCCCGGAGATGTTTCGTTGCCTTTTCCCTTTACCTCCGCGCAGCCACAGCCCGAATCGCCTACACAGCCGTTATTCCTGCCTCACTTTGATTCTCCTCGCTCCCCACCCTCACTATCGTCCCCGGTGGATCTTTCTTCTCCATCCGGTATATTCCCGCGTGTTTCGTTGGACTCTCTCAGGCCGAAGCGGCGGAACAGAAACTTGCTGATGCTCTTCATGCCCTCCTCGACTTCGGTGTACCGCGCGCTGAGATACGACACTTTTTAGACGGGTCCAGTCTCGGATCACGGCTCGCCGAACACGAAATACAGATGTCGGATGACCCACCCGCTCCGATATTGCTCAACAACGCTCCCGCCCCTTTCGAGAAACAAAGCAAGCAAAAGAGGCACCCGTCCCACGGTATTTGGTAGACAATAGATTAATTTGTACTTCTTCTATGATATGTATGTTTTAATTCAATAAACCATGAACTTGCCATGAACCACAGAAACTCGCAGAAACTGTCTTCGCGTAGCGAAGAGGCCCCGCGGCAGCGGAAAACAGCCCCGCGCTAGCGGATAAGGCCCCGCGGCAGCGGAAAGCCAGCGCAGCGAAAAAGAAAGGGGGTCTGGGGGGAACACCGTTCCCCCCAGTGCCAGCGCAGCGAAAGTGAAGGGGGGTCTGGGGGGAACACCGTTCCCCCCAGTGCCAGCGGCAGCGAGACAGAAAGGGGGTCTGGGGGGAACACCGTTCCCCCCAGTGCCAGCGCAGCGAAACAGAAGGGGGGTTTGGGGGGAACACCGTTCCCCCCACGGCAATACGTGTTGCGTTATGGACTGTATTTATTGTCTGTAAATTGCCCCTATTCTGTGTGACGTCACGTGTCACAAGTTCGAGGCGCGGGTTTAGCCTCCCCGTTCGTCTGCGGATGTCATGATCCACCTCATGCTACCTTTTTTCCTTTTCTCCTCGCCATCCATTACGCCGTCCGGGTTATCACGAAGCCCCGAAACTCCTCATTCCTAGGACCAGATTATCCACTGCGCCACCCGGGCTATCATGGAACGTCCGGGTTATCCCGACTATGACGCCCGGGTTATCATGGAACCCCGACAGACGGATCTCAGACGGCATACAGGGGGACAGGAACTCCTTTCCAACTCCCCCGATCGCCCTGGAGATCCACAACTCCTCTCCAACTCTATATGCATAACTCACCCTATCTGTAGGAGATAGGGACTTCCCCTGGGCCTGATCGAATATGGTAGAAACGTATAAATACTCAGTAGAATCTACATGTACGGTAGATTCTACCTCGTCTAATACCAGTGCTACTTTGGCTTGGCAACAACGAAGCGTCCTTCTCAACAATCCGCCCTTTCCCCTTCTTCCCAAATATCTCCTCTCCTCCGCTCCTTTGAGTGTGGTACTGCGGCGGTCCCTATCGCTAGAAGGCCCACCGAATACTCCCTCGAATAAAACCAACAACCCGACTCCTCTACCCACCGATTGCGGGTACGAGTATCCGGCTTGTCGTTATATCGGAGCACCCGGGTTATCGACCAACGTGAAGTCCCGGCTGGGATTGCCGATCACCGTCTCGCTGAGCCGACCTAGGGCTGACGCTGACAGCGGACATACAATTCATTTGCGCACATATTCACCGGCTGA